GTCAATCGCAGGTGAAAGTGCAAGATGTGTCGAGTTGGTGTTCCTACGGTGAAGACTTTGTGCGCGCACTGGTGGTTCCAAAATGAATGTTCCTCGGGTGGCACCACCGCCCTTCCTGCCACCTTTCGGACTGTTGTTTGGTTGCAAGCAAGGCCCCAAGACTTTTGTATTTGGGGTTCCTCGGTGAAAGGTTTGTGTGCGGACCTGTGGTCCCAAAATACGTGTTGACCAGGTAGTACCATTCCGTTTTTGTATCACCAGTGCCCTTACTAGCATATTTTTTTTATTGGTGAACTTGGGCACCATTAGTGGTTGGTCAGTTCTAGGCGGAAGTATGGCGAAGGTCAATGACGGGTGTACTTGGTGTTCCTAAGGTAAAAGGTCTGTGTGCGCACTGGTGGTCCCAGAATGAGTGCCCCTCTTGGTAGTACAATTCCTTTTTGGTATCACCAGTCCCTTCCTGCCACCTTTTAAGACGCAAAAAAATGTTTCCACTCGGGCACCATCGCTAGTTGTGAGTTGGTAAGCAAGGGTCAAGGATGTCTGTATTCCGGGTTCCTCGGTGAAAGATATGTGTGCGCACTTGCGATCCCAAAATGAATGTTTTGTATGCGCACTGGTGGTCCTGTTTTGGTATCGCCCGTGCCCTTCCTAGCACCCCCTGAGTTTCAATTGTGTTTTCTACCTCGGGCGCCATAAGCAGTGTCAAGGTTGTAGGCAAGGCGCAAGGATGTGTTCGGTGTTCCCTTGTGCAAGGTTTGCGTGCGCAATGGTGGTCCCAGAATGGATGGTTTCCAGGCAGTACCATTTCGTTTTCGTATTACCAGTATTTCAACAAGCTGCAGCTTGATGTATTTTCTTGCCCCTCAGCAAAGGAAAAAATAACCGAGTGCCGCAGTATCAACATTGTTTTTTTGCATTGGTTATCCATTCATGCAGGGTTGCGGATTACGGATTACACCTGTTGACAGCATGACGTAAAGTTAACAGTCGTTAACAGTCTTAGGAGAGCTGTATCATCCGAAAATTCAGAGGACAAGTGCACCCCTAAGACTCGCGCGGAAAAAATTATGCGAGCCTGCGCGATCGAAAAACAGATGGACATGTCACAGAGCAATTTTGCACGATAATTTACAGGAAAAATGCCGGAAACCAGACGGAGCACCCTGATCAAGAACCGGCATTAGCCCTTACGGCAAAAACCTCCTCAGTGTGGCCGTACTGTTTGGGGAAAAACAAATAATAAATAATGTTGTGTGTTTTCAAAACCTTTAAGGTCATAGCCATGTTGTTCGTTCTTTAAGAGGACCGACATAGGTGCAAAAGAGACGGCAACAATTTTCCCGGAGCGCCTCAACTCCCAGTGGGTACCATACATTGTCGGCTCAATGAGCTGCGTTTCCTCCAGATACTATTTTCTCATATCCATGCGTTGAAACCAAAAAAAATGTTCAATTTGTAATTACACTTTTGTCTGCGGTTCATTGAGCCATCGAGGCCAAACAACCAAGCAATATTTTTCCTTTTTCCTCCTCCGATGTGGCCGCTCACACATCGAAAATTTTACATGCGGCTTGCGCCTAGGACAATTTTGAGTAGCAAAGGCATTGGTACTTATGTATGCCACACCTTTATTTTTGGCACACCTGCTCCAAGATAAACTTTTTTTACTTTTCTAAATCAGCGACCAAAACAACTTTTAAACAAAAAACAAGGCGGATCTGGAACCGGGGCCACCAGCCAGCAAACACCCAAACTTTGGGGCCGGGCACAGGGGTAGGCAACCAGGACCTACCACCTGAAGAACAAGGGGTCACAGTCCTCGGAGCACCTATTGGCAGAACCCTTTGTCCAACACTTTCTGAAGAACGCCCTCGCCGATCACAAACCCTTGCTCGACCAGTTACCACACCTTCTGGTCCCTTCTACTTGTCCTACTTGTGTTAGGGTTATAAGTATGTTTTACCATTGTTTTAACTAGGTTAAGATGGTTGCAACTAGGCAGTAACTAGGCTATAAGTAGCTTATGCCTAAGGTCTAGTTAAAGTCTAGTTCAAGTAACTTGAAATTAGTTAGACTATTTATTAAGTAGAAATTAAGTAGGTGAACATTTTTGCGGGCCAACTTTGCTTAACTTGATTAAGTTACTTGTTCTTAGTTATGTCTACTTGTCTTCTACTTATTTCTACTTAACCTACTTATGCGTTTTCTCTGTTTGCTGTTGTTTTTTTTCTCGATGACTAGCTTCATGTTTTTTTAAAAGGTTTTCTGTGGTGACTCCGCGTTAGTCCAAAAACAACATATTGAACTATTCCTTTTGTTTCTCATGTTCATTATAGCAATCGTCTAAGCGGTGTGTCCGCTGAGTAGGTTGCGAGGGTTGTGAGCGGTGTGCCCGCTAAATATACATGTTCATGACGTCATTGTTTTGATATTTCGCATTGTGTTTTTTTGGTTTCATAGGATCTATAGAGCGGATTGAGGAAGTTGCCGCAACGAAGTGTGGATGTCACCGCTCATGGTTTATTGTAAGATTTTTTTCACCAGGTGTGTCTGTTCTCGAGTCAATGTCGTCCTATAATGTCAGCTTTGCCTCAAATGGCATGCTTGGGTTATCTTTACGCAATCTTTCTCTCTCTTGCTGTGTCTCTGTGCCTGCCTCGCTATCTCTGCGATATCTCTGTGATATCTCTGTGATATCTCTACGAATGTGCTTCAGAGCCTGCTCCGATCCCTGATATCTTTGTGATATCTCTGTGATATCTCTGTGATATCTCTGTGATATCTCTGCGAATGTGCTTCAGAGCCTGCTCCGATCCCTGATATCTCTGTGATATCTCTGTGATATCTCAGTGATATTTCTGTGATATCTATGCTATCCTGTGATATCTCTGTGATATCTCTGTGATATCTCTGTGCTATCTCTGTGATATCTCTTTGCTATCTTTGTGATATCTCCGTGTTATATATGGTATCCATGTGATATGTGTCGTCGCCGTGACATGTTGACTCTAAGTTGTCGGTTTGTATGGCTGCGTTCTGGAATCCCTTACTGGTTGTAGACTTTTGGCTGCGACGAAAGGTGCCCCTGTACAACTCTGTCTTGACATGGCGGATGTGGCAAACACTCAGAAAGGATCATAATCTTCAAATTTGTATATGGTCACTTGAGATTCAAGCATGTTGGGTATAGCGGTGTGCCCGCTGCCGCAAGCCATTTACATTTTTCACATACGGACTCTGCAGGCATTAAAAAAAGGTATATACGAGAAAATAATTAAGATAATATTTCTCTCTTATATGGTTTTAGACATGGAAAATGGCATGATGCAACTCTAATATGATTTTTGAAGAAATCATATTTTTTTTTAACAATGGTCTACTTATTTCTACTTAATTCTACTTATAAGTAACTTAGAACCTACTTATGTTAACTTATGTTCAATTAAAAAACTCAATTGTACATATGTAAGACACAAGTAGACATAAGGTGACTAAGTTACTTGAAGTTAAAACAAGTAACACAAGTAGAAGGGACCAGAAGGCACCTCGGTGACCTCCAAGCGGCATGGCTCCTTTAACTCTACACAGCCAGTCCTCGCAGCAACTACCTCCTCAGGTTGCTCCTGCCCACGCAAACAGGTCCAAAATGTGTTTGAGTGTTTTCCGGAAAATCATTTCGTACACTTAAAAACAACCAAATTTAGCCTTTGATTTGCAAGTCTTGGACCTTAACCAACAAATTTAGTTTGACTTAGTGCACTTGCCACATGTTGCAACCTTGTTGCGCATGGGCTGCATTTATACATACAAGTGCTGGCAAACGCCATACACGAAAAACAAACGCTAAATAACGCAAACCGAATCAAAAATATGAAAAACTATTATCGAAAACATGACTTGAAAAGCAGAACGCGCCAACCTTGTTCGGTTTTCCAAAATTTATTTTTTCCAGTTGTTTTTCTCTTGCATGCATGTATGTTTTCGTTCATTCTTTGGTTCACAAACATTTTTTCCCGTCATTTAACAATTCAATCACTCCGCCCCTTTAAAACAATACGAAGCAGTTTCTTAATCACGTTGCTGGTGACGGCCATCCCGACACCGTGACATTCATACATGGACAACCGCGAGTACCACAATCATGCAACCAAACTTTTGCCCATTGCTAAATTTATTACAGCCCAATTATTTTGACGCACAATTTCCTTTAAAACCTTGTATTTACATGTGCGCACATTCCTGTTTACAAACAACAGTGCGAACCATATCGTTCGATTTTTTAAACGCCGCAGGGCCTGTCGGATTAAATTGTCTTTTTCCATTCCTGGCGTTACCCCTGTCTACCCTTCGTCCGCCCTTTCTGACTCCAGTTCGTACCTTTCTTCATGGGTTCATTCATTTCCCCGTCGTGCGCTTTGGAAACGAGGGAAACCAAGCTAAGTGAAGAAACTGCCACAACCAAAACAGGCAAAAAAAAACAACAACGTTCCAAACGCGATTTTTTCCCCATCCTAGACTGTGATGCAGCAAATTGCGTGCTCTTAGGCCAGTGTGGCCAACACTGTTGCCACCTCGTTTCCATGAAAACGATGTGTCGTTTTTGTTGTGCGGTGTGTCATGGTGTTGGTTGTGGCAATTGATTGTGGCAACGTGGTTTCTTCGAACCCGAATTTGGAAAACAAAACGAAACGGTCTGGTTTCAACATGATAATGTATGGAAAAGAAAAATTTTGGTCCGAATGTGGTTTGCCCTGATGCAGATGACATGAACTGGAAATAGCTGCAAGACATTGTATACTTGCAGAAATTGATGGACACGGTGAGGCGGCTTGACCCAACACTTCCCACAAAACCGACCAATTCAAGCATTGGATGTCGCCGTTTTTGTGTATACACGATCTTCAACCGCATAGGTGCAATATTTCCACCGCTGCACTAACGTTCGACTACAAGGGGCCAACATGGGAACATTATCGAACATTTACTCTTCCACCTGGCAGCGGTCGCGCCACCATTGAAAGCCATGGCTGCGCGGAAAATATCGGATCCGAAACCACCTAGTTTCGAAGAGGAGCTTTGTTTGTCAGTCTTATGGTCAGTTTCATGTGCGTGTGGCGGTTCCAAGACATGGAAAATATGGCGTACGCGTGTTCAGCCCGACGGAAGGAAGTGAACGAGTTGATGCAACCAGGCATCATTCCCAAGCTATGGGGAAAACCGTCCGCAAAGGCTCGAGAGTGATGGAGCCATGAGTTGGCAAGACGGCATGTCCGCGAACACAACCAGACAACAATTTTAATTTCCGTTCACGTAAATTTTTCAGTGTTGCAACATGTTTTCCCATATGGACCTAAGGATTGGTAATTGTTTTTGATGCGGGCTTCATGACGGCATGATATTGCAGGTGGTGTTGTTTTTGCGAGCAGGTGATGGACGATCCATACTCTCGTGAGACGGCCCCTTGGTATATCAAGCTGGTGCGCACGGAGCCAACACCCATAAAACATGAGGTTTCTAGTTTGGAGTTAGTGTGCACCACTTGTAGCTTGGTTCTTTTCACCGTGCAAGTGGCAATCCCAATCAATTATCCCAATTTGCGACGGGCACAGCAGCTGACAAACTTGGAGTTGCAAGCGCGAGCAAGCGGATGTTTTCCGCAAAATCAGGATATACGCCCAGAGCTTAAGGTCTGTGCGGAGGTTGAGCGAGATGGCCGTGCTTTGGCTCATGCTGGCCCGCCCTTGAAAAAGGACAAGGAGGTGCTCGGGGAGCTGTTTGGACCGTGGAGCATCTCACTGGTGTCGTTCTGGGTTGGATCCCAGGAACCAAACCTACCAACATTAGCGATGTTTTATGAATTTATGATGTTTTTTTTCTTCATTGGTTGCAAAATGTTGGGAAGTCCGAGTGCGATGATTGCGTTTTTTGGGTCATACTGCAGCGACCAAACCATTTATTTCCAGTAATTCGCATATCTCATTCGAAAGGAGGGTGACAAATATGAAGTTACCCCCGCATACCCGTCTATAATTTTCTAGCGGGGCGTTTTTTTAAATCAAATAAAGCAAACCGCGGCAAAATAAAATCTTTGGGAGGATGGGGATCCCTTCCTTCGAATCATTTTTTTTTGAACCCCTTGATCCCTTCCATCTTTTTTTTCTGGGCCGCCCAATGTAGACCGATGTTTGGAATTGAAACTGTTCAAGTTGAGGTGCCTTATTTCAAGGCTTATTTTGCAACATTCAAACCCAAACCCGCACGGTCTACCGTCATTTTCCTTATTAATCATGCGGATGTTCGGGGCATCCCCAGTAGATGAGGATTGGTTTTTTTACGGCCTCCAGTAAGCCATGTGTGTGTGGTGTTTGAACGGGGCATCATAACCTGTGCTAAAATGTGCCAATCATTTTTTTTTGGTCATCAAATTATTAATAATTATCGTGTTTTTAGGGAGCTGCTACAATATTCCGTTTGGTTATGTTGCTCACTTTTGTTTCGACAGGTTATGTTGTTCAGTTTTGTTTCGACAGTTTCCCCGTTTTCCGCCTTGAATTCGCCTGCAGTTGGTGCTGAAGGCCGTCCAAAAGGACGGCAGCGCCTTAATGTTTGCATCGGAAGAGCTGCAACGCGACAAGGCCGGGCGGACGTCATGCGGGGACAATTGTCCAGCAAAACTGGGGAGTATAAAACAGTCAGCAGGGAGAGCTGGACCTCATGCGGAAAAAGGTGCGGAGGAAAAAAAAAAAAAACACTCATGAACAGTGGGTTTTAAAGCGGGTTTTTCCAAGAGTGCCAGTAGAAAATTTGGTTTCTTGGGTTTTCGTCTTGGTTTGTTTCAGTTCAATCCATTGAACCAGCGGCCGCGCATGGTTCTGCAGAATTTTCTGGTGCAGGATGTGGTCCTGGCGGCTGTGGCTTGTGATGGTCTCGTGTTGAGTTTCTTGGACGGCCTGCTCGGGGGCATTGCTTGGATGGCAATGGGGACAAAGTTGCCAATTCATTGTGACGCGCATTGGCTTCTTTATTTGCCACTTCTGTAAAAACTAAAAAATATATTATAACTTGCACAGGTGGAGACCATTTGCCAAATACTAGAAACCATTTGCTAAATATTAGAAACCTTTTGCCAAATACTAGAAACAATTGGCTAAATACTGATAAGTAACCTGTTGCTAAACAAGTAGGATCTGTAGAAACCTTTTTCCAAGGAAAGTAGAATATGTAGAAACAATTTGCTAAATCATGTTGATTTACCAGGAACCATTACTTGAATCAAAGGGTAATATTTGCAAGCAAAACTTGTTATTGACTGACAATGTTATCATTTTACACCGGTTCAATCTTGGAACAATCATTTGCCAATAGTAGGTGGCGGTGAGAAAGAACAATTGTCTTTACACCACATGCCAGTTCAATAGTATCAGTGCCCTCTACACCCAGGGTTCGCCACACTGAAACTGTTGACGCTTGAAACTTGAAACCATCTAGAATCTAATTGGGAGTACTATCGCACCATACCAGTTGTAATGCTGTTTCAATCTAGGAAAGGGATGGGAAAGGTGCATCAAACAGCAACAGACGCAGGGCATACGCTGTGCCCAACGCACTTTGTGCCAAATGTGCCACACAACGCTGCCCACGCGCGATACCCGCAAGTTCTGGATCAAAAAAAAGGCGCCCCAAACAAAACCAATGTGGCTGATAGCCTTTGCGGGTGAGTTTGGGGATGTTGTTGGCCAGGCCTTGCCACATGGCATTTTTGACACCCCAGAGGATACCCTAGACAGGGATTTTCCCCAAAGTCAGGGTTGGTGTGTGCTTGATTTTTTTCTCTATCTGTCCGGGTTTGTTGGGGGAGCCTGGGGAGCCCGGTTTTCCGGGAACCTACCAGCTTAACCCTCCGAAGATGTAAATATGAAAGGAAATTATTTCCAAAACCCTAGAAAACATTTCTAAAACCCCAGAAATTATGTCCTAAATTCGAGAAACTGTCTCCTAAATCCTGGAAACTATTTCGGAATTAAATTCCAGAAAATATTTCTTAAATCCTAGAAGCAGTTTCTTAACCTGGGCACCAAACCCAGAAACCATTCACAAAACCAGGTTTGCTTTTACTATCTTTTTGCCACCCCCAACCACTGGACAAGGATAGCAGTGAATCAAGTGAACCATGCTGTCACCAAGAGAGAAAGGCTGCCAGGCCGTTGGTGCAGGCGTTCTTCATTCTCTTTCATTCCATGTTCTTCGACTCCCCGTCTCAAAATCAGGCACTGTTACTTACTTCTCAACCTGTAATCAACTGTCATACTATATCACAATCTATATCTATATTTGTTAACTTGAACTATATTTATTTTTCTTATTCTATTGTTTTGTTTGGTGATCTGAAGCACTAAAAGGTTATCACAGAAACCGTTTCAAACCGTTCCCCGCTACTTTCTAGGTAATAATCCGCAACCGTTTCAAACCGTTTCAAACCGTTTCTTGCTACTTGCTACTTCGCTTTGGCAAAAACTGCAAATAGTTTCAAATAGTTTCGAATCGTTTCAAATAGTTTCAAGTAGTTTCTAAGTATGGTTAATAGTCCGAAACCGTTTCAAACCGTTTCATGCTACTTGCTAGGTAGTAGCCCGAAACCGTTCCAAACCGTTCCAAACCAGTCCCTAGAAGGCCTAGCTTGCATTATTTTAGAATTCCTTTTCATTAATGCATATTGGCTATTGCTTAAGAAAAATGTTACAACTTGGATTTATTTAGGAAATAGTTTCTGTAAATTGGATTAGATTAAGAAATAACTTCTGGCTCCCACAGACAAAGAGGCCAAGGCACTCCTCTGCCAATTCATGTTACTCATCTATATATTTTTATTTGTTTATTATTTTTAGTTTTATTTGTTTATTGATTTTTGTATTTATGTAATGTACTGTAACGTAACGTAATGTAATGTAATGTAATGTAATTTTATGTTATGTTATGTTATGTTATGTTATGTATGGATGTATGGATGTATGGATGTATGGATGTATGGATGGATGGATGGATGGATGTATGGATGGATGGATGGATGGATGTTTGTATGTATGCATGCATGTATGTATGGATGTATGTATGTAATGTATGTAATGTATGTATGTATGTATGTATGTATGTATGTATGTATGTATGTATGTATGTGTGTGTGTATGGATGTATGGATGTATGGATGTATGGATGTATGGATGTATGGATGTATGGATGTATGGATGTATGGATGTATGGATGTATGTATGTATGTATGTATGTATGTACACATCCATTTGCGAATGCATTTTTATAGACGTGAAATCCAAACATGACGCTTAAAGAGTGGATGCAGAAAAGTAAAACGGCATCCATGAAGTATTCTGCCCGTTTCGCGACGGCGACCGTCTGCACGGGAGTGTTACAGAGTGTTAGTTCCGAAGTTCCAACAAAACCATATGTTCTATGTTGGGCCTTTGTAGGGTTCATGTTGGGGGTATGTTGGGCACATGTTGGCTCTATGTTGGACCGTGTTGGGCCCATGTTGGGCTCCATGTCGGGCCATGTTGGGCCTATGTTGGGCCTATATTGGGCCATGTTGAGCCCAAATTTGGCAAGTTAGCCGACTTCAGGTCCCTTAAAAAAAAACATGGAAACATATTTTCCCGGCAAGAGACCCCAAACAGTGGGGCGAGTTGGAAGATAATGTATGACAATGTGGATGATTATGATGATGTAGAGAAGGATGATGATGATGACGATGATGATGATGATGATGATGATGCGGAAGACAAAGTGAATGATGACAAGGTGAAATACAATGATGTGGAGAAGGATGATGATGATGATGATGATGCGGAAGACAAAGTGAATGATGACAAGGTGAAATACAATGATGTGGAGAAGGATGATGATACAATGATGTAGAGAAGGATGATGATGATGATGATGATGATGATGGTGGTGAAGATGCTGATGTTGAAGAGGAAAGTGATGATGATGATGATGATGAAGATGAAAATGAAGATGAAGATGAAGATGAAGATGAAGATGGCACACTTTGTGCGAGCCTGTGCAGTCGAAACGCATGGTCAAAATTTCACAGAGCAACTTTCGGAAATTTACAGGTAAAATGTCGCAGGCCAGAGTGAGCACCCTGATCAAACACCGGCCTATACACTTATCAGTGTGGACACGCTGTTTGGGGAAAAAATCTAGAGCAATACCCCCAAGCTAAAGCTTAATAGCTAGTGCAATTGCTCCCAGTGAATGGGTGCAGACAAAAAAACGTCCCGGCACCTTCGTTGCGGGTGGATTTTTCCATTTCTGCATCTTATATTATGTGGTACACCAAAAATATACGAACGCAATCATTCCAAATAGGGATTTGCAGCATTGGGTTTTATCAATTCAGTGTGCACGTTTGTTTGTTTTGTCAACTTTTTGTTTTTCAAATCTGTCCCCATCGCGGCCTTATTTCTCCTAACCCGTGATTGAATTAATTAATTACAGTTGGCTTCACAGTTGGTTGGGATCTTTCTGAATATGATGTGCACCAAGCCAAGCGATTCAAATTGAACCAACTTTAGCCCCTAGTTTGAAGTCACGTTGGACAACCCACAATTTCTCACTCTAAACTTCCTGGGGTGCTACTTCGTGGTGGTGAGTGATCTAAGTTGGTCACAAAAATAAACAATCATTTTTTACCGTGAAATTAATCTAGAAATCAGCGCATTTTGCAATTTGAGGTTGGGTTGCCGAAGGGTTATATATATATATATGTATGGATGTATTGTTTTTTAAACGCGCATATATACACATATACAGTTTGGTAAGTTGTGACCTTTATATTGACTGATGAACGGCCAAGGCTTGGCTAAAGACCTGATTGGGGACAAAGAAGTGGCCGCCCAGCCCGCACCAAGAGCTGGTGGCACAGATCCGCATTGCCAGAAGTAGGATGTAATGTAGGTTCAACAACTAGTTTTCACGGGGTGTAGTATATGCATACACGCCCACATATGTGTAAGCGTATGCAGTATGCATTAAAAAAACTAAATGAACATGTTTTCATTTTTATATATATATATCTATCTATCTATCATATTAGTTGATTGACGGCGTGATTGATTGATGATCGGTTGGTTGGTTGGTTGGTTGGTGGGTGGGTGGGTTGGTTGGTTGGTTGGTTTGTTGGTTGGTTGGTTTGTTGATTGATTGATTGGTTGATTGGTTGGGCGAGTGGGTGATTGGTTGATTGATTGATTGATTGGTTGGTGGGTGGGCGGGTGGGTGGGTGGGTTGGTGGGTGGCTTGGGTGAGCTGGTGATTGATTGGTTGATTGATTGATTGATTGGTTGGTTGGTGGGTGGGTTGGTTGGTTGGTTGGTTCGTTGGTTGGTTGGTTGGTTGATTGGTTGGTTGGTTGCTTGGTTGGTTGGTTGGTTGGTTGATTGGTTGGTTGGTTGCTTGGTTGGTTGGTTGGTTGCTGTAAGGATTGTAAGGCGTGGTAATGGGCGAAAGCAACAAACTTTGGGATTTTCCACTAAAGTCATTGTACAAGTGATTGGCGGATAAAGGTCACACACACATGCAGATGACAAGTTGAAGGGAAAGTATGCTACAGGAAACCCGCAGGGAGGTGGAACAACAAATGGCCTTGGAAACAACCCAGTGAAAGGAGAGGGGCCTTTGACATTTGGGCCCATGACTTTTGAGACATTGACCCAAATCAACTAGCGCAATCCTTGCCCAAATTGTTCGACCAGCGAAGGGCTGGATATATATATATATATACATCAACATCATTTGGGCCCATGCGAATCCCCTTGACGAATCCCTATGAGACTCTATGAGTTAAGCGGGTTCGGGGACTTATTGGTTCCCAACCACATTTGGAATGCAGTTGGTTCCTGCTAGTTCCCTTGTGTGTTTGCGACCGTGGCACCGCACTTTGATGGGGTTGGGCAACCTCGTTGTTTCTTGGATGATGTGGATGATGCTGTTTTAGATGGGTGTTGCTAGAGGATTTTTTTTCTACGGGAAATTCTATCACCTGCGTGGCTCATACTCATACGACGAGATTCCCATGTGCAACCCTGCCCTTTTGATGGAATGGCTGGGTGCAGGTGCCGTCTAAAGTGTGTCGCTTTCAAAACCTGAGCATATATACGGTTGTTAACCATTTTCTGTTTCTTCGGGTCCGAACCTCCCGGTTTCCTACAATGGGCCGCGAGGTACTCAATGATGAACTTTTATCTACGGGCTTGAATCATCGCACTCATCGCCATGTTTTCTAGGATAGCCAAGTTCCTATGATCTTTGAAGCTAGTTTGATTTGCAACCCTTAAACATCCTTAAGCCAAATATGTATGTGCAAATCCGCATTGAATCATCATTAATGTCGGGTGAACCTGAATAAAGTCTTCGTGAAACAAACAATATATCACAAGGTGGTGCTGTTGATACACCACATTCACCCTTTGCATAGATGTATA